AAAAAAAAAAAAAAAAAGAAGAAGAATCCTGGCTGACGCCTTGCAAAGCTGTGGTGTTCTATGCCCTTGATTTGCCGATGCCAGAACGACGCTGGCCGGTGCTGGGGCGTAGCCCTGTGACCTGTTTGTAGCAGGAGCTTGAGGCCTGGTGGAGAGATCTGGGGATTTGTCGAGGGAGGAAGACAATCCAGTGGCGAATTGGGGGGGGCTGCCATGACAACCTAAGGGGTCGGGTACAGTCTAGGTAGTGAAAACACGTCAGCTATGGCTGGTATTGGTTGGGATGATATTGTCTTTCGAGTGTTGTGTTTGGTATAGGGGGGGAGACTAGGAGTGGCTCAGAGATTGTGACGCCAGGTTTTTCTGTTAGTAGTTTATATTTTACCATAGATTTTATCATCATCATCATCATCATCATCATTAGCTCTTTATCTTTGGATCATCATCAGATTATCAGTAGTATCTCAGCAAAGGTATGAGGGACGCTAGGCCCGGCCAGCATGTTCTGTTGTACCAACTCATCAATGTATCTCAGGGGACGCTGGACCCGCTTTCCAGCAGGCGCAGCTCCCCACCAACAGACTGGACCCCCCTGCGAGACAGGTAGGAGTGCATGCTATTACCATCACTACTATCTGTTAACAGGGATGGTATTTAAACCGTATTTTCTAAAAAAATAAAAATAAAATAAAAACAACTTAAAAAAGGGGCTCAATGTTGATACTTGCTGTTTGTTGCAGATTCTCTATAGGATAGGTGAAGGCTGGGAGCACAGTTCTGTGCTGTGCACTACCGATTCGAACAACATCCCCAAGGAATGTGGCTTTGGTTGCAACACGCCAAATTACAAGATGGGTCTGCCTACCCCTGTAAAGTACTGTGAGCACGGGTGCAAAATCCCTATGCCGGGCGAGCCTCTTGATCCCTTCAGTGAGTTTGACTACAATGGCTTCCGCGGCAAGGAGTTTTGCAGTTTAACCTGCCTTAGTTTTCCCTTGGATCAGAGGCCAGCTGTCTGTGGCAATTTGTCAGATCCAGAAAGTGAAAAGGTATGGTTTCGAAATCTATCCCCCGTTATACACAAGTATGTCTGACTGTCTTAAATGAAAGAAAAAAAAGTAACAAAAAAAAAGTATGCCTGGCGGTCTTGGACACATCTACTCGGTCAAATGGCAGCGATCATGGTGACAAAACATTTGAGCTTGGTCCATTTGTGTTTCCTTTTGTTGTTGTGAAAGTATAGCCGTATTTGTGAACGATGTAGCTTAGGGAGAGGCATCTTGTATAGTACATGTTGTCGTTGTCATGTGAAGGTTCTCCATGAAGTCGTTCAATGTGAGCAATTCAGTTGAATTCCGTCCTTTTGTAAATGAAAAATTTAGTCCATCCAAGTCAGAACTACCCTCTTTGCCCCAAGGATGCACCCTGTCCCTTATCGTGAATGTATGCATTCTATATTTTGGAACTAACGGGTTTAATGAACTTTAATCATTTTTAATGCAGTTATGATTAGGTTTGGACAAAGACCATAGATCTCGAGCACACTCGCAATTGAAATCAACTGCTATGATCCTGCACATCTCATGATGCAAAACCCAAACGTGAGACAATTCAAATCAAACAGAAGAAGAATGAGCCAAAGAGAGAAAATGGACAGAGGAAAGAAGAAGAAGAATAACAACAGTTGGAAGTTGGAACCAATGTCATCTCCCTCCGTATCTGACCATCATCATCTTGTGTATTCAGACCTGGCATATATAAACTAACAGAGAAAAACTTAGCATCTTCTTGAATCGTTGAATGGCAATGAATGCTTATTTTCATTTGGGTAAGTGTTTCTGTGTTAGGGTTCCATAGTGCTTTTGTGTTTCCCCCCCCTTTTTTGTTTGCCTGTTTGGTTCTTTGATGTTTGTACTAGGAGCAATATTGTTTGTTACCAAAGTTTTCCACTATGTTCCTTGTGGTGCTGCGGCAAAAACGTCTAGGTGAGGTGAAAGAGTCAGTAGTGCCAGTTGACTAGTATGTTGTGTTTCTGTTTGCAAACCAAGGGCTGACAAGGGCCTGTAGAGGCGGGAAGCCCTCTTGACGAGGTTCTGCTCCAAGATGCTACATAGCAGAGACGATCTTCTTTGTTACTGCTATTTTCTTTTAAACCACCAGTACTTGGCCCAGCTATCGGCCGTGGCGCTTTCCTGTTAACGCGCCGTGCCTTTAGGGCTTCGGGGTACCGGACCACAATGGCTGGAAGCGCCAGCCAAAAAAATTTCAAAACGGTACCCCGGCGCTTCGGCGAAAATTGGCGCGCAGGGGCATTCCAGGCTCAGCATCGATAGCTGGGCCAAGTACTGGTGGTTTAAATTCTCCGGGCTCCCGAGTGCATGGATCTAGTCGTAAATACTAAATACCCTAGATATCAAAGGGCCACAGGCAGTGTCTAATTGCCCCCTAGCCAAGGTCTTACGGACTCTTACCTATGACACCCCTGAGCAAGCAGGTAGAGCCACTTAGCACAGCTGTTACAGATTGTTCTAGTCATATTGTTGATACGACATAGAGGTTCTAGCCTATTATCCTCAGGTAGTGTCTGGCCACATTCCGCCCCTCTACCTTCCTGTTGGAAAATGGGACAAGTGTCCCATATGATACACGGTACAAGAGAATGCTCGATGATACAAGTGAATGTTTGAGCTTGTCTGAGCATGTCTGAACATGTCTGGGAGTATCCAAGAGTGTCTGAGATTGCCGGAGAATGCATGTGCATCCCTTTTCTTCTGACCGGCCATGAGTAAGACCCTCTTTGCGAGATGTAGACCTGACACCGAGATGTCTGTTCCCCAAACCACGACCTCTCAGCCATTCGGCTTTCAGCTATAGCCTGCTACCTTAGCAGCACTATTCAATTTGATTTTTCGACCTAGTGTGGCCATGGCAGAATATTGTATGATATATTGAATACGACGCAGTTTGGTACGATTGTGTACGAAACTATAATAATTACAAACCCCTTGTAGAATCTGATCACTACTCTTAGCCTGGAGAGAGATCATCTTTTGCTGCAATCTACAACTACAGAGCTACCGTCTTGCCCATACTAGTGATTCTCTACTTGTTTGTCAATGGCAGGATTGGGCTTGCCTCCTCTTGGTGGTACCAGAGCAGAGTTCGCAAACTCCTACTTCTCCCATACCCACACCTGACCCTTCTCTTTTTTTTTTTTTTTCCGACATCAAAGCCCTTTTTGTAAGGCCACTATCCCGGCAGTGGTAAGAGAACCACCGGAATTGAGGCCTTGGCTGTTGGGCTGCTCCATCTATTGGTGGGGAGTGACACGTGCTGGAAACCGGGTCCAGCGTCCCATTAATACAACAATGCATGTCAATGTTGAGGCTGTAGTCATTATTCTATTCTACTCTGGAGCACCCTGTATCCCTTGGAGCTGCAAGTTGTCCCATTCCCATTGCGGGCCTCCTACTTAACACCTGACCCTTCTCAAACCTGCATGGTATTTGGCATCCACAGCCAGCCATAACTGTGGTTCAAGAATCCCCACAACACTGGCCTGCCCACAGCCGGGCCCAGTTTGATTGTGCAAACACGGGCCCGGTCGAGCCCAGGCCTTGATGAAGAATTACAGCCGAACCTGCCCAGACCCAGACATATTTTTCACCACCTGCCCCTGCCCAGACCCTCAAGCATAATCTCACCCAAACCTGCTCATAGGGCATCGTTCGACACTCGGGGACGCGATTCCGAGGATTTCGTCGTCGTTCCACCTGTCCTCGGAGCCGATTTTCGGAACAGAAATGTGAAAACACTCCGAGGACAAAACCTTGGGCTCCGAGGATTTCCCAGCCAAATCGTCCTCGGCTCCAAAGGACCTCACGACGTCCTTTGGAGCCCGAGGATCCGCGATTATCGGGGTGTCGTCGGCGAGTCCAGAAGGAAAAATGGAGGTCGAAGGTGGTCCAGTGGTGGTCCACCGGCCGGAAGACGGACATCGCGGGCCGTCCTCGTCCAAAACGTCCACCAACGGCCTCGTTGTTTTACCGTTGGCGGTGATTGGCGGTACGGCCCTGTCGATTCGTCGGGCGGCCCCACGCTGGTACTGTGGCTAGCATCGGACGTCTTCGGCCGGGTCCTGGAGGGGTTGTGGCGTTCCCGCCGGCTTCCCAACGGTCGAAAATACGGATCTTTTAAGCGTCCTCCCCCAGCCGGTGCTTGCAGCAATTTTGTACGTTGGTGTTTTCCCTCTCGCAACGTGTGTCTCCAGTCGCCGCGATCGCGACAGCGCAAGTGCGTGTTCTGTCTCGGCTGGCCTGTCGTTCATGGCTGACCTGTACCGCAGGCTGCCTTTGCTGCTGCTCGTCGCTGTGCTGCTGCTTGCCGTTGTCGTCTTCCATATCTTCATCCTTGGTCGCGTCCCTGGGAGGAAACAGACGCGGCGAACGCCGAAAATGAGCAGGAAGATGGAGAAACCACAGACAAAGACCACGCTGTCCGTAGGGGCTGGGGGGTCGTCACATTAGCGTTGCAGCACTGCGGAAGGCGGCAGGCGGTCGTACGACCCAACGGTGTACAGCCACCTGCCGTCCCATGAGATTCCGTTGCCTCCGAGTGACGACGACAGTGACGACACCCGATCCTCAACGGTTCCTGGGAAGCGGTTCGACGCAGGATTGGATGGGGAGCCAGCTGTACAGACAGTCATCAACGCCGACGTACACTGATCTGCTGGAGGGGCGGACCCCGGTTGGTTATGACGCAGGACTCGTAGATCTCAGCTTCGGTTTGAGGTTTGGGAGTGCAGAGGACGTCACGCACACCATTCTCGTGAACCCAACTTCTAGCACCAACCACGCACCGCCTTCAGTGGGGTCGTCGGGCCTTCCTGATACCCGCGCCTGGTGTTCTGGTCAGTCGGGCGACGAACGTGGAGTCCTTTCGCGAAGGCGGGGGGCAGTGGGCACAGCAGGTGTGGCGGCGTCGAGGACGAGGACAGGTGGATCGACGACGCCAGCCGGTAGAATCAACGGACGAGGGGACGATGATGAGGGCTCTGCTGCGGAGGTCGTGGGACGAAAGGTTTGGGATGATCATCGGCGACAATCGCGTCAATCGAGCACGCCCGCCATAACGAGAGGGGTGGCGAACATTAATGTGAGGGTGGACGATATATTCGGCGACTGCGATGGTGCAGGGGGCGAAGATTGCGCGGCAGGCGACGGGAGTAATGACAACGACGAGGACGACGACGGGGAGATGGAGATTCGTCCGATAGGGAGGAAGCGGGGAGGGTCAAGGGCCACAAACAAGTGTACAGAACCGCGCGCGGGGCGGAGAGGCAAGAAGGGTGCGGGAGATACGTCGGTAGCCGAGGTAGCAAAAAGCAGGGATTTTTGGGCCGTGGACCACATGATTGCTCTGATCCGAGCTAAATGAGACCAGGATTTGCATCTGGCCGCCCTCGGCCACAACAGCGAAAGGATGAAGACGAAGACATGGAAGTGGGACGACGTCGAGAAGAGGTTCGTGCAGATGGGGGTGACGAGTAGAAAGGGCGAGGACTGTGGGAAAAAATGGACAACCTGTACCAGCAGTTCAAAACCGTGCACAAGTTCATGGGAGAATCGGGGAAGCCAAATTTCTTCACACTCACGCCGGGGGAGAGGAAGGAGCGGGGGTTTGATTTTCGGATGGATGAGCGTGTGTATTCGGAGATGAAGGCCATGTCCAGGTGCGATCACACTATACACCCCACGAATCTCACGGACACGGGTGTGGCCGAAGGTGTTCAAATGCCCTGTCCACGTGGAGGTCGAAATGAATCCGGCGGTAGCGAGGGATGTGGGGGTGGCCAGGACGACGATCAGGGATCGACGAGGGATTCAACGTTCAGCGGTGTTGGTGGTGGCGGGGGCGACAAACGGAAGAATGTAAGACAGCAGACCTTCGACACGATTGCGGACGTCATGAAGGACCACGGGAATCTGATGGCGACGACGGTGGACAGCGCGAGCAAGAGGCAGTGCTCAATTCTGACGAGGCAATGCGACATTCTCGAGCGAGAGCTAGAAGTGCAGAAGGAACACTACGTGAAGGTCGACCAGGCGAACTTCATGATGTGCAACGCCCTTCTGGAGATTGCTAAAGCGATCCGTGAGCGATCCTAATGCCGCTTTGCCACACATGTCCTACGTCCGCACGAATGCCATGTGTGCACTTCCGGAGCATCGGCGTTGCCGCCGTCCTGCGTGCTGCAGTGCAGTGTTGGGCAGGTTGTGGAGAGACGGCGGGTCGTTTTTGGCACCGCAGTTTTTTTTAAGCGTGGATTTGTTGGATGAGTGTGCAGGGTATTCATTGATGCCATGCCCTGCGGCGCGTCCTTCGGTTTTACATTAGGACCTCCGATTTTGAATACTGTTTAATGGTTGGTGTTGTGAGGCGTCGCCGTCACGCGTGGATGGCGATCCGCTAGGGTCTTGTTTGGGGGGGTGTCGGTGAAGGAATAGGTGCCAGGGTGTGTTTTTCGGGGGGGAGGGGGGGAATGGTAGACGGGGGTGCCTCGAGTTTTGGGGGGTGGCGGACGAAGGATAAGTGGCGGGCTTTTTCGACCTCCCCCAAGGTCCTCCCGCGCGCCTCGACAGACTTGACAGCTGGATCACCCTAATGTCGTGGCAGCTCCCCGGATATCCAACGAACACGTCAAGCACGTGCAGATCCAGGTCCACCACCACCTGCGAAATGACGGAGAAATGGTGCTTGCGGTCGAAGTAGTTCTCGCTCGGCGCGTTCGCCGGTTTGTCCACGTAGATGTGTGTGCAGTCAACTGGACCATGGCAGTTGGGAAAGCCCTTCTCCAGAAACGTCCGTAGCACAACGTGTTTCCACAACCCAGTCGGCCACGATATCTTGTCCCCGTACGCCCTCAACATAGCGGCTGTCACATCGCGCACGGCTCGAACTCCGGAAGTCCTGCCTATGCCGAAGGATGATGTGTTGTTCTCGTATGACTCTCCTGTAGCCCACCTATAGAGCGCGTACGCGACGATCTGCTCCGGCTCAAGTGGTTTGTATGAGTTCTGATGTTGTCGCGATGAGTGATGTGTGTGATGCCACCTTGCATACTCGGAAATGACTGTTTGTGGGATCACTGAATGATTAGATGACTGGACAGTTATCCATGACACATGGCGATTTTGCATGCAGAATTAAACTCTCACATCTGCGTCAGCCAACAGGTCGGGGTACGAGCGAACACCTCGTGGGGATACGTGTAAACGCGATCTGATCAGTGCGGCCTACATGTGTCCACACACAGGCGATTCGCGACCTCTGACGAATGTGGCACCTCCAGCATCAGAATAAGTGTGAAATTTCCGTTTTCTGAGGATTTGGGCCGTTAGGAATTTTCGCCACCATACGCCGGAATGACAAGATGTCTTACACCGCGGACCGGGAATACTTAGAGCACTTGGAGGAAGAATATCTTAGGCGGAGATACCCAGAATTTCCTTGTCTATCCGAGAACCGACTGTGCGCCAGGGAGTTTCACTGTGCCATGACCAACGACCAAAATTGCCCCGATTACCCAACTACGTACAACACGCAATACTTCATATCCCCCGGCTTCGTCATTATCGCTACCAATTTCCCTCCCTTCCACATCCTCCTCCTCCCCTACCACCAGCTCACGGTAGTTCCGTGGAATTCCATAGCCCCGTACTGGCCCCACACGCCGTGCAGAACGCGGCAACCGCCGAACCTCTGGAATTACGGAGCCTAACCGTAACACGCGACGACAATCGACACCCGCTTGCACCCGACGGTTCGACTCATAGGAACCGCAACCCTCACGGAAGGACCGCTCCCGAACCGCTGTCACTAAACAGGCGGATCGGACGGCCGGGGATGCACTGCGCATGCCATCTGCCTTATGCTGCACGACATCGACCGCCATCAGACCGAAAGCAACCCGTCCCTTAGCCTTATTGCACCAATGCCCCTGAAACCTTGTCACAGGAGATCTCAATTCTGACCTGGGACTCCACCCCCACTTTTCCAAAAAATCCTTGGCACACCCCTTTTCGCACTTCCAGGCCCACATCCCACTCCGATCGGGAAGTCGCGACGGGCGTGAGGTTGGGCGTCACAACAGCAAAAGAACGGACAAAAATGGATGACCTACACGAGGCTCACCCTCCCAACAACAAATGGGAGCACAGGGAACACAACGAAGGGCCGCCAAGCAGTGAGCGGCTCTGCAGCAAAGACGACAAGCCCTTCCAACATAGGGAGCAGAACCCATGTCTATATCCACAATGGCAGTCGAGGGGGGCCCCGAAGGACTTCAACTGCCAAGGGTTGTGTAAGCCTGGGGAGGGGGTCGGGGGTGCAAGAGGGGTTAGGGAAGGCTTTCGGCCCAGCAGAAGACAGCAATTGGTAGGGACCAATGGGCAGAAGGGAGCGGAACACCAGGAGGGACAGACAATAACTCCAGGAGTCGGGCAGGGCAAGGGCGAGGTAATATTCACAGGCCGACAGAGACAGGAAAGCTTTTAGGGAGGGTTTAGGGTTGTAAGATACAGACATGGCAAACAATCATGGGGGCTGCAGAACTGACTGGGCCAAATGGTCTTGAGGATATTTACCGAGAGATGGAAAGGCCTGCAATTCTGGGGACAGGGTTGGGCCAATAGTTAAAGGGTGCTCCAAGATGGGATGGGTAACACCAGCAGCCCCATGGGAGATCGGAGCCCCGGGGTGGGAAGCGAAATGACCACAGCCCCTGGAAACAACAAACACCCAATACTGTGTTATGAGATGTTTCAATGGGACGCTGGAGCCGGTTTCCAGCAGGTGCCGCTCCCCACCAATAAATGGAGCAGCCCAACAGCTGAGCCCTCAATTCTAACGGTTCTCTCACCATCACCGGGATAGAGGGTTCACACAAGGGCTAATTTTTAATTTAAAAAAAAAAAAAAAAAGATGTGAAAAGAGGAATAGAAGATGAAAAAGAGGATTTCAAGATGATGTGGACAAAGAGAGGAGGAAGAGGACAAGGTGGTGGAGGTTAGGGGGTGAATGGACCTACCTAGTCGTGAAACTCCTCAAATCTGCCTTGCTTTGTCCAGCAGCCACACTGGCCATGCTGTACGTACTACATCGAACAGCGTCAAGGCCTCACCTGTAAAGTGGCTTAACTTTGTTACTCGCCAGTGTCAAGCCCATCGGTTGCAACGCGGGGACCCTCCCGGCCGCATCACATAAGAGTTTGTCGCTTGGATGCAACATGATGAAGTGTTGCCGCTCCAGCCACATGCACCAGCTATACCTCTCACAGACCCCGATGATAGGACAAGGCCCCATGAGGTACAGCTTACCCCCCACCCATGAGAGTTGTCACCGCCCTTAGGTGGGCGTATCCCCGCCGAGCTACCGATCCACATTCGAGAGCTTTTACTTGCAGTCGGAGAGGTGGACCAGCCGAGGGTGTTTTCTAGTTCATTGTTGCATAGGGGTTACTCGCGGTCAACGCCCAGATCGAGCTCGTATACGAACCATCACTTGAGGCGCTGTTCTCTCCCAAGTGCGGCCCCACATCGAGACTACGAAATTTCATATTACAATGCAACTCATTTCCCATAACATTAACTCAAAACTCAACTAACGTATGCCTGGTCCCTTTTCAACTCAACCCTATAACTTATTTTGCTTAGAGATGGTAGACATAGGATACCTAAATCAGTACATAAAAAAATTGTATGCAATTGCAATCATAACACTGAAACATGCGAGACCTTATGGTTTGCCATTATGGTGACGCTTTACTCGATAGTCATAAGCATGCGACCCTTTGTGGGTTCCGGGGTTGCATAGGACACTCAAGTGTCGCCTCCTGAGTGTCCCGCTGCTCCTACCTTGGCGACATAAAACGACTAAAGGGACAGTTGTTCGGCCTCCATGACGGTTTGCTTTTGAGCAAATCGCAGCAGTTGGCGGCAACAGGATGTCCTCACCCTGAGAACGAACTCATGGGCTGGATAAAGACCTTGATTCCCGGTCGCTTACCCAAACGTCCAACTATCAATCTAACAAGGATCACTAAATATCAATCAGGCTTAACCTTTTATCATACTTGGTCGTCCTCAAGTCCGCGGTGAACCCTCTTAGGTCGGTCACACAAAAGCTCGACCGATCTGATCGGTTGGCTTACGCCGTAGACACTGTCGTTTGCAAATGGATTCACACTCGAACAAACATATTGTATAATCGAACGAAAGGTGTGTTAAATATCTGGTGGATCACTCTTACATTGATGCAACCTATCCAAAAACAGAAACATTCCCAGACATCTGGAAACGCTTGTTAAACTGTTCAGTGGAGAGATTCGGCCACCAGCCAGTTTCGACAGGGCCATGATTGCTCTGATACACAAGAAGGGAGACTCTACCGAAATACAGAACTGGAGGCCTATCTCCCTCCTATCGGCCTCGTACAAGTTGTTGGCCAAGATCCTGACAAAGAGGTTTATCCCTTGTCTCCTCCTTCTCACCCATTCATCACAAATGGAATTTATCCCTCGTTGATACGTCTTCACGAATCTCCTGTTGGCCAACCACATACTACACATTGCATTAGATGCCCAACCGTCCTTAGCCTTTGTCTTGCTTATGATCGGGTCCGTTGGCAGTTCTTGCTCACCACCCTGTGCAAGAGAGGTTTGGGCCCCCGTTTTGTGGACTGTGTGGCCATGCTGCTAGCCACAACGGAAGTGTGTCTCCTTGTTAACGACAATTGTGGAGACCAATTTTCGCCTCCTGTTCAGTACACCAAGGATGCCCCCTGTCCCCTACGCTGTACATTCTGTATGTTGTACATCTGCATGAAGTGTTGAGAACTGGCGCGTCTTTGCAAGGGATCCGCCTCCCTCACGGCCTGCAGCTGAAGCTGAGTACCTTCGCGGATGACACAGGAGCGGTGATCGCCCTCACGCTTGACAGTGCGGTAGCCTTGCGGCAGCAGGTCCAAAGACTCTAAACCTTTGAGCTGTACGTCGGAGCATATATGAATTGGCACAAGTTCACTGCTGTTCTCCTGGATATGGACTACATGACATTGTTCAAACCAGTGAAAACGCAAATTGTGAAGAATCAGATCGCTTATCTCGGTGTCCTGCTCCCTAGTACGCTGACTGAGGGGACTCAGTTGGAGACGTTGTTTCAGGCTGCGGAGCGGAGGATGGGATGATGGGCCCACGCGGTGAGTATTGGAGTCTTTGGCAGAGTCCTGATGGGCCCACGCGGTGAGTATTGGAGTCTTTGGCAGAGTCCTGATTGTGAACTCTTGCGTCTCCTCAACTCTTTGGTATGTTGGGGTTGTCTCCATGCCTGGCCGAGAAGTGTGGCATCAATATGATGCAGCACTGAAGAAGTATGTGCGAAGGAGCGACCCGCACTCACAGAAGCTTATTTATAGAGTGGCGTCACTGGTATGGGAGAAGGTGGTGCAACCTCATTCAAAAGGGGGACTTGGCCTTATACCTCCTTACAGGCAGACTATTGTGCTCCATCTTCTGACACTGATTTGGCTGCTGCTAGAGCAAAACTGAGAGCCTTGGAAGATTCACAATAGCTATGCTGGTGGACGCTATAAAGACCTACCTGACTGGTGTTGAACACACACTTACGTAGCCGCAGCTTCTGTCGGGGCTCAAGAGGGTAGCACTCTGGGCCCCAGTGCTCAGACTTAGGCAACGGTATCGGATCAAGGGAGCTCCTCCTCGCTCCAAGGAACAGATGCTGCACCAACCCCTCTTCCCTGATCAATATATCCTATGCCCGGATGGTTCCCAGTTCCCATGGACTGGTTCCCCTGAAGCGCTTGGAGAGCAATGGTTGGAACTGGGATCTGGCGGGCCAACAATTAATGTAGTCTCAGAGGAACCACATATAAATTGACGTGCAGTCCAACAATAACAAACCAAAACTGATTGCACATCAACTCCTCGCCAACATGGAATGAAAAGGCCCTAAATTACCGTTGGATTATATCAGGTAACAACAAATTGAAGCGGTGAATCAAGCAAGTAGGTACAGAACCACATAAAACAAGGTTGAATAGTTCAGGTTATTTCACAAAAGGGAATCTCGGATTCCCCTCTTAGATGTCACCCGATAGATTCATCATGGCTAGCCTTCACCCCGCTGCTTTCTAGTATCGCCGGTTGGAGGGACGGCTAGTATGTCTCCCTTACCGGATCACTTTCTCACACTTGGCAGATTTACCCTAACCTATCCGAGATCTATCCGACCTGGACTCACTAATAAGCATCACATTTTTTCCCGTAACACCCCTCGCTGAACTCCCCTTCGACCCGGAGGAGTGGCATTGGTTGCGTGCACGAAGAACGCCAGCTAATCCGAACATTAAGTTTTTTGCTTTGCCAGTGAAGGCCACTTATCGGCTACTGCGGCCAAAGGTGAACCTTAAAGAGATTGTGAAAGCCCGCTGGGTAACCCACTTGAACTTAAGACATGAGACCATCCGCCCTTTCCGGTGGTTTTCAACCATGAGGTCCAAACCGACTAAATTCGCCTCGCTGCAGTGGTAGATAGAGCATCGTTGCCTCCCGACAAACAATTCGCTGACAGATCGCACGCACTTGGAACAGAAGGGCCTGACACTTGCCTGGTGTAAATCTTTCCATGACGCCTTCCCCTCACGCAGGATCCCGGAAACTATAGAACACATTTTCCTACAATGCCCAGGGCCAGTCCTCACTTGGCGTTGGTGGGACCGGATATGGAGCCTCCTGGGCACGGGAGCGGCTTGGCCGTGGGACTGGAGGGCGCTGCTCGGTGAAGCATGGACCTCCCCCACGGACAACAATTTTGAAAACAACATGTTCAAGATAGGGAGGAGAGTGATTATTTGGGCACTTTGGAGGAAGCGCTGCACATGCACCATTGAAGAGGAAGTAACAGAAATAATAAAACAATATATACAGCAAGAGCTCGTCTCACAATGGCAGAAGGTCAAGAATCAATTACAGACATACCACTCAAAAAAAGACATCACACAAGCAATTAATCAATTCTCAGGGGACTGGCTGGGTAACGGAAAAGGGGGCTGGATTGCCTATATTAGATGGGAGGGTGGACAATCCTCGGGGCAGGAGCAGGAAGACTTCAGGAGGGACTACTGCATCTGCTTCAAGGAATGGACTAAAGTGGACCATAGAGTGCCATTGCGCTCTCCCTAAGAATTCCCGGACCTGTTCCCTCCCCATCAAGTGTCTTTGGTGGACATGCACTAGTACGGTGCAGAATAAGAGAAGGGACACAGGACAAGGGCGGACTGTTGGACTCCAGACAAAGCCGACACGGTTGATGGCAGTTTGATGGAGGGATGAGAACCTCATAAGAGATTATACTATTTGCTTCAAGGAATGGACCACCTCGGAGTTCCCTGACCCCTTCCCGCCCCATAGTCTGTTAATGGTAGATAATTAGTGGTATGAAGCATAGTCTACATAGTTGTAGAGGCTTAATTTGCTGTGTCTGAATCGGTGGACGGGGGCTAGGTCGTCATGCATTTTGGGCGCCCAGCAGCAAGGCCGAAGAGGCCCCTTCTTCCCCCTCTCTGGCTACTTATCTTCCTGCTCAGTTAATCCCCTGTTCTCAGGGCAATCAATGCTAGCAGAAGATGATGGAATTTTCAGTTGGACCTCAGTGGATTCTGTTAAGGGACGTTGGACCCGTTTTCCAGCAGGTGTTGCTCCCCACCAATAGATGGAGCCTCCCCGGGGCAGATAGAGGCGTCTTCTCATACCAGCGCCCCTAGCCCCCAACAGGCAGCCTTGAAAAAAAAAAAAAAAAAAAAAAAAAAAAAAAGACTACACCAAGATCGCCTCTTCATGCAAATTGAATACTTAAAGGATTGCAAGCTACTCCAGATTGCGAAAGACAAGAACTTTTACCTCGTAAGTGCAGAAAAAACAGGTAGATATGATTAGCAAGCATCCACAAGCATAGCATCCATGCAACCATGAAACCATGCATCCATGCGCATCCAAAGGTGACACCGGCTCTTACCTGGGTCAGCTGACTCACTCTTGAGGTAGGTAGCTCTCTCCCCCTCTCTTGCCAACCTGCATTGTTTATCTCCCTTCTCCCTAAGTAGGACTGTCTTGACCCTAAAGTGCACTAAGCCGTGTACGTCTCTATGCAAGTCAGCTCCACTGCTTGTGAAGATGATACAAATCAGTTAGCAACCGTATTGAGTAGCATGAATGCCATTGTAGCGTCTCTCCTGCTTTCCAACTGAAGAAGAAGTCACCTTGGCCACACTTGAACTCCGGAGGTCCTCTTGCGCGAGTGCCTCACACCCTTATCAACTTCGCCTCCTCACTCCAACATACTGCTCCCCTCTTCTCGCCAACCCTAAGCCCCAACTCAACCCTAATCCAAGGTAGATTAAATCCCAGCACCTCTTGGAATTAGGGTAGGGCAGTCACTGGCCAACTCAGTGCCTCCTTCCAAGCCCATATGTGAGGTGTTAACTTCCTAACTGCTCTCGGAATTAGGGTTGGAGTAGTAGCAAAGCAACTCCCTAAAATTAATCCACCTAAACCATGCCCTACTCAAATATTAAATTGCCCTAACCATCTCGGAATTAAGGTTGGGGCATGAACGCCTAACCAGCAACGGAGGTCAAGCTCGAATACCAGTTGTTACGATCCTACCACATTCATAATGCAAAACTCAAATTGCAAGAAAATGCAAGCCTTGCTGAAACTCAAAAGAAGACGTGGAGAGAGAAAGAGCGGAACAGAATGAAAACAATAAAAGAAGAAGAAGAGTTACAAAAGTTGAAGTTGTTGAACCAATGTCTTCCTCTTCACTTCTTCCTTCTCTCATCCTCTTTTCCCTTACTCCTCCTGTTCTCATAATTAATTAAATACAAACAAATGGATGAATGATCAGGAATCATGTCCGAGTATTCCCCTTTCCTGCCAGCATTCAAAGAGCCCTCCTGTCGGCCATAACCTCACTTGTCTCTCCTCGGTTGCAATAACACAATCTGATGAAGTCCAAGACCGACTGGTACCCACACAGGGGCCCTCTAGATTTAGCACCAAGGAAGTGAAGATGAAGGTCAACCATAGCCACAGGTGAGTCTCTCAATTGGGTTCCCCTCTCTCTCCCCCCCCTTCCTCAACCTCTTCACTGTTCTCTCACCCTTCTCCATAGCCTGGCATGGAGATTCACCGTCCACCTCCATAGCCAAGGTCTACTCCCTCCTACGACGACGACTCCATAGCCAGGGAGGTCTTCTTCTCCACCCTCCAGCTCCACCACTCAGCAAAAGCTCCACCTACCTTCACGGTCTAGGCGCAGCAGCGGCATGACTGCAGGGTACAATACTGCCTCACTCATTTTGCCTGAATGATGTACTCTTCCGACTCTACCCCACAGCTTCACGTAGGCTGTGATACTACTCCCTCTCCGGGGTATGAGGCCTCCCAGACGCTCCTGCTTTTGGCAGGAACGTCATTGCACCCTGCACGTCTAGTTTAGGGGCTAAATCTAACCCTGATATCTAGGTTCGCGCCCTGACTTCTCATGACCTTCAGGAAGCTACCGTGTCCTTCTAGCCTACCGGACGTCTGCTGGGCCTACCCGAGTTGCTGAAAAATCCTTGCTGAGTAGTACCCAAATTCTACTTGTGTCCCCGTGCATCTTGGCCTTTCTAGAAGTTTGTCCAATCCCCAGTTTCAGTCTTGTCCCTGTGGTTCGCTTTTTTCTTATCTACTCCTTCCCAGACACAAACAACACAAGGCAAGCGCACAGTTAGTATTCCGCATAGGAATTATCACACCGGGATATGCACGCATGCAAGCAACCAGCAAACTCACACAGAACATGGAAATCTCAGCAAAGCAGACCAGCAAGCAGCAATACTCAGAAAACAGCCTAAATCTCAGAATGAATATGTGTTAAGAAAGGTCCCTATTACTCCCTAACCTTATTGTATCCATCTTATTTCATCATGATTCAAACTCATGGCTTGTTTATGAGCAGTTACCTGTGTGTGCTATTCGGCCACATGGGCTGGGTCAAACACAAAGTTGAACTTCAGACGGAACATCTTTATCTCGTACTAACCACTTTCCGTTTGGCTTTCTTCCTTGCCCTTTCCCCTGTTATTCATCCCCCCCCCCCTCTTCCTATTACCCCTGCCTAATGTGTTTCACTGCTGTTAGTTGGGATTCCCTGGCAGAGGACATGAGACTAGTAATCCTGCACCAGTGGGAGCCTTTTACTGGTGGGGTGGCAGGCAGATGACCTTTCCCAATGTAAAGTACCAACATCATGTCAATTATTTTGCAAGCACCGGATACTTTGTAGCCATCATTGTAGCTCAGTTTGCTGATCTCATGATTTGCAAGACTCGAAAACTGTCAATATTCGGCGTGGTATGTCTCTCTCTCTCTCTCTCTCTCTCTCTCTCTCTCTCTCTCTCTCTCTCTCTCTCTCTCTCTCTCTCTCTCTCTCTCTCTC